TTGTTTTTGGTAGTTATCATTTTGTATGAAATTAAATATCTTATCCTAACAATTTGAATGTGGTTTTGTAGCTCTTACCTCATAAATTCATTAGTTCTTTGTTAATAAGGATTCTATGTGATTCCACTTATTCATTTAGAAGATTTTAATTGTTGTTTGTTTTGCTAATTTTTCACTGCTACTATTATACAATTTCGAAAATCGTTGATATGAGTTTAAACTTCTACTCCAACTCAATATCATTTTCACATTTTTCTTTTGCTCTTTGAATACAAAGTTTATATTTATATTTAACTTTCTAAAGTGAACTTTTGCTACTATCTTCTTGTTATTCATAACTTTCAAATTGATTGAAATAGTTCAATTTGATTTTTTTCAACTCTGGATAATACATAGTGACTATTTCATGAAGTAATTCATTTTCCAATAACATTTTGTTGTAATATAAAGCAATATATTTTAGTAAAAATATTACCTACACGATTGATCCAACTTAAGCTTGAATTTAACCTAATTTTGGAAGTGTTATAGTTTCTGAAACAGCAATGTTATCAATTCTGAATAAATAACTACCAATACTTTTGAATTAAGTAAATTATTTCGACATTGCACCAACCACCTAAGAAGCGAAAAGATTATCAACTTATTAATGGATTAGCTCGTAATTGTTTAAGAAATAGTAATTTTCATAATTATTAAATAATATTCCATCGTCAATAATAGATTCTTATTATTGAAGCATAACCTATGAATATAAAGGTTTTTATGTTTCTAAGGCTGTATAATATTATTTTTCAATTTCTTCTAATTCTCCCGTAGAATATTAAAGTTAATTTAATTTAATACTTAAGAATAAGAACCCATGTAATTTAGATAAATATTCTGTTATCACATTTTCATCAGCGTTATAACTTCCAGGTACAATAGTTAAATTAGAACAACTTTCTAAAACAAGCAACAATTATGTCATTTCCAATCGTCCATCATCTCCTTTATAATCATTGTTTAAAACAATAGTACCATTACTTATAAATATTTTAAATGGCTTTTCTTCACTAGTAAATAATGGAAATGGTTTATCAATTATAGTTTTATTCAAAATTCTATATAAATTAGGAGTGATTATATTATTTTCTTTTCTAAACGGATCCACATCACCCACAAAATCTTGTAATTCTAATTAAATAATAGAGTTTGACAACTAAAATTCTGCATATGATATAGTTTATTATTTAACACTAACAATAGGAGGTATTTGATGATCAATCCACTGTATGATTACATATAAAAAATAAGTTAAACTAAAGCATCCAATTATAATAGTAATTATTCCACCAAGCTTACTTTAATATGAGGAAGCCTTAGTATTAGTCAAAAGACTTATTGGAACCTCGAAAATATCGAATTTGTCTATAGTATTTAATATTTTGTTCATCTTAATTAATAATTAATTACTGATTTAATATTTTATATTTATTTATATTATCATTATTTATATATAGATTTTATAAATATTACTCAAATTTGTATTTGCTAACTATTTTTAGGCTTAATAAACTAAAGTTCCAAACTAATATTCTGTTTCCGGAGACCTAAAGGAAGAAATTGGGGACAGGCTTAATTAAACTTTCGACAGGCCATTTTTCAAAATAATGTTTGCAATATATTTCTTAGTAATACTATGAATTAAAATATATAAATAAACTTGACAACTCATATATTTCGCATTTCTTAATATTTGGATTTTCTTATCCAAAGAAATAGGTAGAATTCTCATATTTATTCCATTAATATGAATAACTTTTTTATTTTTATCTCTTTTATTTGTTTGAATAAATTAAATATCTTAAATTGGCCTTTTTGAGATTGATTATCACTTACTAATCAATCCACTTTTCAATAATTATATAATCATTAAATTGAAGTATTGCTCAAATATATAATTAATTAAAGATAAAACAATAATCATTTTCCAAATTACCTCATCAAAGGAAAATCCATATAATACCACATTAAGTATGTTATATTCTTTCCTCAATAGAAAAACATTACTAAAGATATTAATTTTTGAATAATAATTGAAGATTTTTAAGACTTAGATGTTTCGATAAATTTTAATTTTGATCTACCCTCAAAAACTATTATATTGAAGAATAAGCAAAATAAAATATTAAAATGCTCATAAATCTGGATTATGGGATATATAAATTTATGATATATATCTATAGTGTTATCATATTATAAAGAGATTAGATACAAATAATTTACATTATTCTGATTTAGTAAAGTTTTTATATTTTTTGAATAGTTAAATGATATTAATATTCACCATAAATAATGCGCATTAAATTGATTAATTAAAAATCATAATTCTTTTTATTATTAATTTTAATAATGCTACTCATCGTCCTAATCTATATAACTCCCCAAACTATTATTATTTAATTTGATGCAAGCTTTAACATAAAAAATAGTGTTTTCAATGCAAGTTTCAATGCATTGAAGATTGCAATATATGTAATCAAGGATTATGCATTTTAAAATGTGAAAAAAGATATGAGTTTATTAATAATAGTTGTCTCTCTTTTTGTGATGATCAAATTGTCTCAAAAAGAAGAGGATTGTGATGGTAATTTCTATCCTTATCCTTATGATGGTTGATTTCTCTGCTCGTATTCTTATCCAGAAAATTGTTATGATTGATATCAAGGTAAATTACCAACATTAATTGCTAATTTCAAATCAATGTTTATAATTAATAAATTGTGGAGATGTGTTGTTTTAAGAAGAATGTGATCATGAAAATTAATAATCCGTGGATGGATGCCTACATTGTTTAATTGAATAACATAGGATATTCACTCCAATAATAAAAGATTCTTCTAATCAATGCTCATTTGTCAAAGCTCCAAACTTCATAATTAATTATCTTAATATGACTTATAATAAATAGTACATACACATCTAATCTGATTAAATAGTTAAAATATAAACAGTTTTACCGTTATCAGAAACAATAAATTTTCAGATATCAAATTTAGATAATAAGCATTGGCATACAGCTTATATATAAATAGGATGTTGGATCAGATTTGAGTTTTGGAGAATTTATTGTCTAACTAGAAGTGTACTATTTATTACAATATCCAAATTTATTTAATGAAACACAGAAGGAGTATTCTGATATTTTGAAAAGTTATAATCAAAATATAATTTATTGTTTATCTGCAATAACTGGCATAAATCTATTGTTAGGTTTGTATATTTATTTGTTGAAATTTTAGCAATCCTTTAATTCCAGCAATATTTACGATACATTGATCTGGACTTTCCTTTAGATTTAGAAATTTATTTTTCTCTTTATGATATAATAACTAATTAACCTCTCATGGATTTTATCTAATTTCCTCAACTTTTGCAGTTTATTGATATTTAATCAAATTAAGAATATTCTGACGACAAATCTAATATGTACAAATAAAGCTCAAGCTTGATCATTAATCATTCATGCCAAATATTTTAATTTGTAATATTATTATCCCGTTTTTTGTGGTCGCAATGGATTAAAAAAGTTGTGTACAATTGGATATTTAACTCTTGGTATTTTTCCTCTATGTCAAAGGTATCATTATACATGAGTCCAAAATTAATTTTTATGTTTAGTTTACCTAATATAAGTTTTGAGTGTAATTACTTAAATTGGAAAAAATTATTTCTTTCAGAGGGTTTTAAAAAGCCTTAATCTTAAATAGTTGAGATAAGATATTTAAAACATTATTGTATACACGAAGCATTTAAACAACAGATTTCATAGATATTGTACAAATTATTATCGTTAGCATCATAATAATTTTTTATATTACCATAGTGCTAGATTGTTTCAAAGGTTTGAATTTAATTGAATAGATTTATCAAGACAATTAATAACTTCTTTATATTTTCCTAAACTAATTGAAAAAATAACGTTTATTAAATAATAATGCTTATCCTTAATTAAAGATTAGATTAAGTTAATAAAATTGCAGCATTTTATGGAACTTTATTTGGTGGTATGAGACAAAG